TCGCGACTTCCCATCTAGCCGAAAGTTCCAAGTCTGCTGGAACTGCAGCATTGTCTGGCGAGAAATTGAAAAGGAAAANAGATGATGTGGTGCTGCAGGTTTTTCCGGGTTTTCCTGCAGCTGAAAAAGCAAATGCGCCACTGGAATCAATGAAGTCGCCCCGGAGCGCCAATTAATTTTTATTGTTGTATTTATTTTATTTTTAATGTCATAAATTATAAATCTCTTTTACTTTGAAAACTAATTACTCCAACGCGAATACAATATGTAGGTTTATTTGTTCCAAATCAAGGGTAGCTCTGCAAAAGGTAATCACTTTACCGAGATTGGAGTTATGCGGTGCTCTACCCATGGCTCGATTATGTCATAATTTATGCTCAGTTTCCCATATTGAATTCTCAAAAATCGTGCTGTGATGTGATTTCGCAAATAGTTTTATATTGGTTAAAGGATGCACCTACTAGGTGGACTACATTTGTATGCAATACAAGAAATAACAACAAATGCAAAATGGCAACATGTCTCTTCAAGTCAAAATCCAGCAGATCAAATTTCTCGGGGTTTGGACCCAATTTTATTGATTTCTTGTAAACAATGGTAGAATGATCCAGACATTCTCTATAACATCGGTGTATACTCGGATAACTCTCAAACACAATTCACAGAATGTCTGCCAGAACAGAGATCCCCAGTGACTCTCGTCTCGTTGAATAATTTCTCGGAAATGAATAAAATCTTCAAAAAAGATTGTCCAAATTTAGTCACTTGCAACGGGTTATAGCCTATTGCTTGCGCTTTGCACATAATTGTTTGACGCCAAAAAATAAATTGACGGGTTCACTTTCTATTGGAGAACTTAAAAAATCTCTGTATTTTATCATTAGTTGCATTCAAGATTAAAATAATTTTCAAAGTTTTTGGTGCAAAGTTATTTTTATTTTTACTCAACAAATTACTCAAAGTTATACAGTATTGTAACAAGAACTTAATAGTAAATAATATGAAATCAAAAAATATCAAAATTAAATAGGTATTTTGGAACAAACTCATTTTTTTCTGCAGATTATTTTGGAGAATTATTTTGGACAAGAAAATCTGCAGAAAATCAATGAGTTTGTTCCAAAATACCTATTTTACTTTGATGTTTCGTGATTTGATATTAATGAATAATGAGTTCTTGTACAGTATAATTTTGAGTAATTTTCGGTGTTAACAAAAAATAAAAATAATTTTGCACCAAAAACTTATAATTTCACTCTTCAAAAAAATTGACCGTGGTTAACAGCATAGTTGTGTAATTCGTAATATTGCAGGCTTTCAAGATAAACCGTCGTATACAGGATGCTGTCTATTTATCGTTTTAGCAATGTTTTTTTCGTAGTCTCCATTTTAAAAAAATGGGTCAAAAAATAAAACTTCGCTTAGATGGCCATGACTTGAAATCTAGATATATTTTTCAATGCTGAACAATTTTTCTAATTAACATTTCCCGAGATTTTTCAAAATAAGAGTACTTTACTCCTGTCTCAAAATCAAATATTTTAAGGCTCCTCGTATATTAGGTGTGATTTACTGTATTTTGTTGGTGCATGTTCAGTTTTAGGGGATGCACAAACTTATAAAAATAGCTGCTTAAACGCAAGTGAAACATAAGTGGAACCACCTATTGGTGTGACACCCAAGTTAACTTGACAAGTTTTTATGTGTGTTGGTGGTTTGACCAATCAACCGACAACTGCGGTAGCAGAAATTTGGGAAGCTAACCTGAAATGCCATCGGAAAACGAATCCACATGTGTTTAGAAATTATATTGAATCAAGAAAGGTTAATAATTCCATAAAAATTAAATATGAATAGATAAGTACTTTCTGATCATTCCCATATTGATTTCAATTTAAGAGCCACCGGTAAATAGCTGTTTCAGCCTACTGGGCATCGTCAATACCGGGCAGGCAGTCCTCGATTGCTCTTTCAACTGAGATTCGTCAGGAGGACGAATGGTTCATAACGTAAGGTATTTTGGTGGCGACATAAAGGTCAATAACCTCTATGCAGTTCTGGCCTTGTGTACCCCTTCCTGACTGGGGTATTTGATGAACAAACTGTTCATTTTAACAGACGTCGTAGAGCCTTCACTCAACCGAGCGACGGGGCCTTCTGAATCAAGTGGGGTCGTTTATGTGTATTCTACAGCTTCCCTAACTAATGGTTTATCATGAGTTTCCACTGACTCGAAAACTCTCTGATTCCTCGTCTGAATGGACTGCCGTATAGTTAACAGCTTCAAATATCTGCGGATGGCTTCTTCATTCCGCACGAACCATGGAGCATTCACCAGCATCCTGAGAAGTTTATTTTGCAACCTTTCCAAAATGAAGAGGTTTGACGGGGCGGTTTGTCCCCAAGCACTTGAAGGATGCATGATGACAGGCTTGAACATCGTGTTGTATAGTAAAATATTATTTTTAATATTGAGTTTTGAATTTCTATTGACCAGAGGATAGAGTTCAGCTATCCTCATCTGCACTTTGCTCTTGATATAATCAATGTGATTTGCCCAGGTGAGTCGGCGGTCTACCCAAAGACCTAGGTACTTGACTCGCGTTTGCCATTCGATCTCTCTGCCTGAAATCGTGACCCTTGTGTCTGGAAACTTTACGTCTCCCCAAGTCTATCGCCTGAGTTTTTTCTGGATTCACTCGAATCTTCCAGTCAAAGTACCAGCGTTCGAGGTCATCCAATGTGCGTTGCATGTAGACGACTACCAACGCCCGACCCATGGAAGAAGCGAGGAGAGCCGTATCATCGGCGTAAAGGGAAACCTTCACGTGGTCGAACCTCGGAAGGTCGCTCACGTAAAGGCTGTACAGAGACAGCACAGCTCCCTGAGGCACACCAGCTTCGATTTCCCTGACGGGAGACATCATTCCTTCAACTCGGACCTGAAATGTTCTGCCTTTCAGAAAAGACCTAATCCACCGGACCAGACCCCGAGGCAGATCGAAATCGAGCATATTGTGTAGCAGGCCTCCGTGCCAGACTCGGTCGAAGGTTTTCGAAATATCCAGGAGGACGAGATGGAATGTCTTCCTGTTGTTCAGCTCTGAGATGGAATTTTCGACCAGTCTCAGGACCTGCTGCTCGGTGGAGTGTGCCCTCCTGAAGCCGAATTGTTCGTCAGGCAGAACATTTCAATCTTCAACTTCTTCTGTTAGCCTTTGCAGCACGACACATTCAGCCAACTTAGCCGTTGAGCAAAGCAGACTAATCGGACGATGATTCTGGGGAAACAGCAGGTACTGGCCCTGTTTCGGAATCATGACAACTACGGCATGCTTCCATCTTCGAGGGAAGTATCTGAGAGTGATTGAGCTGTTGATAATGTCCAGCAGGTATCTGATGAAGTTCTCCGGGAGCTGCTTCAACAATCTGTTGTTGATTGAATCAATTCCCGGAGCCTTCTTGGGTTTGGAGGCCCTAATATACCCCTTCAGTTCTTCCTCTGAAGCTGAATGGATCACGCCTTCATCATTTTCCCTAAGGATGCGCCGAACCCGGTGTTCCAGCCGGATATCACGGTCAATATCATCATCCGTATCAACGTTAAGTCAAAACTGACTCTCCATTGTATCTGCTCCACCTCTCGTTTTTATAGTCAGTGATGGCCTGTTTAACCTGGTTGGCCATCCTCCTAGCCGCAGCCTTGTCTCCAGGGTAGAGAGTCCGCTGATAAACTCGTCTGAGTCGATTTCTCTCCTGGATAAGGTTCTTTATCCTGAGAGGAAACTCATTGTAGCTCCGCAGAGGACACTCTGTCCTGGTTGTAGCTGCGCGGAAAGCGTTATTCACAGACAATTCGAAATATGCCACTGCCGCGTCGAGACCGTTGCGAGTTTGAAGCGCCTCACGGTCTGTACGTGTCTCCACCAGGTGAGCCTTGAAGGCTTTCCAATCCGTGGATGATCGCATGCGATACTCCTGGGGAGGGGGATCATCACCCAGCATCAGGATGACTGGATTATGATCTGAGTCAAGTTCCGACAAAGTGTACACTTCGCAGGACATGGAGACGTTCCTGAGCAGTGCGATTTCAAGCACGTCAGGCCTTAAATCCCCACGGTAGAACCTGGGCTCATCTGGACCCATCACTCGATACTCATGCCTGTCAGCTTGCGTACTTTCTGATCATTCCCACATTGATTTCAATTTAAGAGCCACCGGTAGACAGCTGTTTCAGCCTGTTGGGCATCGTCAGTACCGGACAGGCGGTCCTCGATGGAAGACAAAATGTGAAAAACCAGAAAAGTACTTGATAAAAATAGCTGCATGTATTCGTACCTGCACTTGAACCTGGAACATTAACAATCTACGAAACTATGGAAACCCTTGCCAAAACTCTCTCTCCCGAAAACAATTATTCGATTCGACATGCAATTCGGTTATTTTCTTTCGGTGGCGGAGAAAAAAGTTGCCACGCTCGGGAGATGGAGGAGAGGGGACATTTCTGAGATATTCAAAAGTCTGTCTCGAAAGGAAACATGAAGACGGTATTAGCAATGCGATAATCAAATATAATACTAAAGAAATATGGAGAGCCTGAAATTGATGAGATCTCAGTGTTGTCATCGAAGATTTTACAAACGCTTATTAACCATGGTGGTCTCAGAAGCACCCGGCCTGACCTAGAGATGACGGTAGTTTTTTGGAAAATATCACTGTATTAGAAAGTACACAATCTATAAAGCATATGTTTCGAGTTTAAAGACGGTGCGCTGTTCACTATTTGTTTGGCAGCCATCAATAGCGAACGTTTTCGGTGAAGCGCCCGGCCTGACCTAGAGATGGCGGTAGTTGTTTGAAAACTATCACAGTATTAGAAAGTACATGATCTATAAAGAATATATATACATATATATAAGAGTGGAAATTTTAATTTTGAAAGAAGTTGAAGATTGAGCCCGCAAGATTCTTGCTGATCACTTTTTGAATAAAAAAAAATATATTGTAATAACAATTTTTATTATTGAAAGTATGTTTTATATTGAAAAACCAGTTCTCAATTGACTTTTCGTATTGAAAATTCTCTCTTGGGTTGAAAATGTTCAATTTCCTTCCCAAGAAAGTGGTCTTTCAAATTATCTTCATAACAGTGATAAAAATAGAAAACAAACAGTAAGATGGAATATTCAATACATGACGTAACTCACACATAATTTTTTGAGTTTATTCGTAATACTTTGGCCGACCAATTCATTGTGAAAATTGAATAATTTGAATGTAACAGGAGGTTTGGCAGCGGCATGGCAGATCTCCGAACTGTTGGGAGATTACAAAAATTATGTTTCATATAATTTTGGCCTCCTTCACCGTTTCAGGTAATTTGATTCCACGGGTCTCGGGCAACTGCAATGCTAAAATCCCAGCTAAAATTGATAGTCCACCAAACACAATCATTGGTAGAGGTTTGTAAAATATACCCTGTAACAAAAATATGAAGTCCTAGGTGATTTCAAAAAGTTCAATATAGATATAGTCAGAAACTGAAGAAGTTATTTTTGAACGTCAAGGAACAAATCATTATAGAATCTAAAAACTTCATTTCAATGTAAAATTGAGCAAATGGTTTTGCAAAAACTATAAAATAAAAGCATTCATGGAAAATTAATGATTCGAAGTCGAATTCGAATACCTAACCTAATAATTTCTGTTCTGTTTAGTTTCATCATTTTTGGATAATTCGTTTCTATAATCGCTGAAATAAAAATTAATGATGCTGTCAAAAAATACACAGTAACGATATATAATAGTCGATATCACAAAGTTTTTCATTTTTCGATATAAGTTAAGAGCATGCGTGCTATTTTATTGTGACTTTTCAATTGGAAATACACAAATGCCACCATTTTGGTTACTAGCTCGTCACTAATTGATAATGCTGATCAAATGTGCATAAAAAGTTACAACTAAGACTGAAGAACTAACGAGATATTAATCAGATATTGACAGGAGAGTCCCCACTACTGGACACATGAGCAAACCGCAGCGATATAGGAATGTTTAAAAGGAGTGATCGTAAAAAAATCCTGAACGTGAACATGATAGTAAAAAAATAATGTAAAAAAAATATTTTCATTATATGAAATTTTATTACATTTTTTTGTGTTAAGTGTTACAATCTTCATTCGAGTTTGAAGGCCGTCGTAGTTTGGAAGTGTATCCTAACGTTTTACCAGCACGAGTGGCTGGCTTCTTCAGAGACGTATTCATCTTGATGATACACGGATGACTGGTGATTTCTAGTTCGTAGGATGTATTTTTGTTGATTCAGGTAGCCCGCATTTCTTGTTGATGCGTTGCTATTGGCCAAAGTGTTATTATCTGTTGATAACGTGACACTGCATTGCACTGTTGCCACCTTAGCATCTTTCAGTATGGGATTCCAAATCTGGTTTAACATTACCACCTTCTCCTTTCTGTTGTTATTTCCCGTATGTTAATGAATTTCTATGGCTTCCCGCACAAGCCGACTGTGGTAAACATAATCGGGGGCAGGTAGTTTCACATCTTCAAACAGTATCGTGAGATCTCCTTCACTGAGCGCGTGTTCCGCTAATGCCGATTTTTCTATTTGACCTAATCTACAATTTCTCCGATGTTCATAGACCTTTTGGTGGTACCGATATAAACTTTACCGCAGGTGCATGGTATACGATATACCCCCGCAGCTGATAGTGGATCTCTTTTGTCTTTCGCAGATCTCAGGCTTTGTTGTATTTTCCTGGAAGGCTTGAATACTGTTTATATGTTATGCTTCCTTGAGATTTTTCCGGTTCTGTCTGTAACCCTAGGGATGTACGGTAGAAATGCACCTGCAACCGTTTGAGTTTCCTCCCATTTTTTACTTGTAGAAGTCTTCAAGTTTCATGGCCTTGTTGATCTCGGTTACATTGGGTCCATTCGATCCCGAAGCCACTTAAAGATGCTCCGATTCTTCTTGTGAATCACACCTCAAGCATCAAGTCATGAACAGGTCCATCGAATTTTCGAAAATAATTTACAGGGTGGTCGAAATTTCCACCTAAAACATAACATCGAGAAAACTGATGAAACACGATTTTTTCAAATGAAAACCATACACTATTCTATTATTTTTGGATACCTCGAAAAAAAAAGATATCAAATTCATGGAGAATGTCCTATACTTAAAATACACCCCTGGCAAGATATATCCGATTTTGGGAAATATTTGAAATGTAAATCATTCGAAGCAATACCAAACCAAGAAAGCTTTGAAAACAAATGAACTAGTATTAACTCTGTCGTTGGTAAAAGGTAACTCAAGATTAAAATGGATGGATTGAAATAAAATCCTATCTGAGAGATAAATTAGGTATATCTTTGTTTATTGATATCGAATACAGTAATTTCATTTGGTTTATATTTTTTAAGGTTAGATTTTACTTTAATTTTGAAATTTAACTTAATTTATTTGAATTCAAATAATATTGTGGTTCATTTAAACAGATGTTCAAAAACATTGCCGTTTTGTTCTGAACTAGAATATATTCTTTTTTACATTCCACTATTTGTAGCTTTCTGTATGGAGTCAGGAATCAAATTATTGAAAGCTCTCAGACCCCTTAGTTTCATGTTTTCTTTATCACTCACAGGATCCGCATAAACATTTTTTCTTTGATATATCCTCAGATGAAGAAGTCGTGACGTCAGGTCTGGAGAGCGAGGAGGAAATTTGAATGGCTCATTGTATCAAAGCTACTGATTTTCGAACATCCCATTCAACAACCCAGCAACGGTATCGGTACTAAGTATGTGCAGGGGCTCCATCCATCTGATACCATAACTTGAAACGGTATTGTTCAGAAACATGCCTTATGGATTACACATTCCTAATTATATGCGAATATCTATCGCTATTCAAATTCTCTTCATGAAGATACAAACATAAAATTCGGTCTTCCATTATAGCCCAAAAAACATTAAAACTCCATGAATCCTGACGAACGAGCTTTGGATTTTCTGCTGCCCAGAAATGACTTTTATAGCGGTTGTACATACCATTCTTGGCAAATTTGGCTTCATCTGTGCATATCATGTTCTTCATGAACTGAGGGTCCTCCTGTATCTCGATAAGAAACCATTCGCTGAATTCCACTCGTGCAGGTAAGTCGTGAGGTTTCAGATTTTGAACCTGGTGATATTTAAAGGGACGCAACTTATGTTTGATTAAAATCCGGTTTATTGACGAACATGAAATTCTAAGTGACTTTTCTGCGTCTTCTGGATATGCTGTAAAGTAGGTCAAAACTACAATTTCGATGTCCTCATTGTTTACGAGTGTTTTTTTTTTGGTTGATGACAGGCGAAAAAGATCCGAAATCACGGCAGTTTCTTAGAAGTCTTCTCAGAATATTTTTATTGGGTTTGTGTAGATTTGGAAATCTTTCTGCAAAAATACGACAAGTTATGTCCATTATCTTATTGCATTCACCATAAATGATTAATAAATTCAGGAAATCTCCATTAGAATACCCCAAAAGAGACATTTTGCACACAAATAGAAAACTACGGAATACACGTCAATTATATCGCATAAAATTTTGACATATTTGTTGTAACTTCATTTGTTTTCAAAGCTTTCTTGGTTTGGGATTGCTTCGAATGATTTACATTGCAAATATTTCCCAAAATCGGATATATCTTTCCAGAGGTGTATTTTTAGTTAATGATATTCTTCATGAATTTGATATCTTTTTTTCGTAATATCCGAAAATAATAGAATATTGTATGGTTTCCTTTTGAAAAAATCATGTTTCATCAGTTTTCTCGATGTTATGTTTTAAGTGGAAATTTCGAGCACCCTGTAAATTATTTTCAAAAATTCGATGGACCTGTTCATGACTCGATGCTTGAGGTGTGATTCTGTGAAATTTCACATTTCCAACTGTTACTGTCTATGAGTTATGATTTTTTCGGAGTGGTGCTATAACTGTCAAATTTTTCAGAAAATGGTTGACAATGTTTCACGGTGTATTTCATTAGTTCAGACTTCCATTGTCTAATATGACGGAATGGTTACTCCAAAGTGATGGTGGAACATTCTTTGGCTAGAAGACAGCAACTCACAAGGAGGAGAAGCCGCCACAACCAGTACTTGTACTTTTTACATCAAAGGTTTTTCGTAAAGGATAAGAAGAATTGGGTCCAAGTATAACATCAGAACCTGCTTCAGATCCGGGAACACTATCCGTAGCAGCCTCACGAAAACCAGGCCACCAAACGCGGACTGCGATTCCAAGAATTGCATTTACCGAATAGCCTGCGAGTGCGGAGAATCATACATCGGTGAAACTGAGAGGTCATTGAAAGTTCGCATTGCCAATCACAACAAACACACACTGCGAGGAGAAACCAGCAAATACGGAATAGCAGAGCATGTTTGGACTCCTCAATATAACATGAAGTGGTCTCAAGCTGAAATCATCCACAAGGAGGAGCACTGATTTAGGAGAAAATTCAAAGAAGCCGCATATATGTTGTCCAACAACGCATTTAGCCAAGCTAGCGTAGAGATACGTAACATATTGAAACCTACAATCAAGCGGAACACGACCAAACGGTCAGCTCCCGCTAAAACCGATGAAACGAAAAGAGGGGATAGGTGAAAGCACTCGAATGACCTATAAATAGTCAGATCTTGGAGAAATAAGTCCAGTTATCACCCGAAGACTATTGTGGATACTAACAATCGAAACGTCGTGAAGTAACTTGGCTTGAAATCTTTTAATTTTAATTTTCATTTCTTGGTAATAATTTTTTAATTTTAATTTTTTTAATTTTTTTATTGTTGCTTGTATTTTATTTCATTGTAATTTCAAGTTTTTTGCTTAATCTATTTGTTCTTTTTTTCAGCTAATTTTTTAAATTTTTATACATTTTTTCTAGGATTTCAAATCAATTTATATCATATTAGACAATGGAAGTCCGAAATAATGAAATAATATAATATGACTTGAAATTTCTGAAAGAACGAATACCTTAAATTAAAAATGAGTAGCAAAAAAAAACAATTATAATTAGCAATGGTCACAATATAATGAAAAAATCCAATTAAAAATTAAATAAAAATCAAAAGATTTCAAACCAACTTACTTTACGCTTACTCCGCTTCACCCGTTAAGTGGGAGTTGACCATTTTTCCGCTTGATAACAGGTTTCCATATGTTGTGTATCTCTACGTTAAGTTGGCTGAATGCGTCGTTAGACAACATATATGCAGATTCTTTGAACTTCCTTTCGAACCAGTTGTTCCACCCTGTGGATGATCTCAGCTTGGGACCATTTGATGTTATGTTGATGAGTTTAAACATGCTCTGCTATTCCCGAATTGCTGGTTTCTCCTCTCTGTATGTGTTTCTTGTGCTCGACAATACGGACTTTCAATGGCCTCTCAGTTTCACCGATATAGAATTCACCGCACTCACAGAGTAATCGGTATTCGTGAGGCTGCTGCAAATGGTGTTTTCTGAAATGAAGCAGGTTCTGATATACTTGGACCCAATTCTTTTTATCCCTCCCGGCAATCCCCTGATGTAGGGAAGTGCAAGTACTGGTTATGACTGCGTCTCTTTTTTGTGAGGCTCTCACTGTCTTCTAGCCAAAATCATCACTTTGAGGTAAACATTTTTGATGATTCCCTTTTTGGAAGATTGATGGCGTTTGGATTCGAAATTTAGATACTGTCCCGTGTGAGTAGGTTTTTTGGTATACATATGTTCCCCACTTACTGTTCTTCCAGAGATTTCAAATCATTTGGGTAGTTTTTTTGGAGAATATTATTGAATGAACAGAAAGGAAAAGGAAGCAGGTTGCAAAATGGTAGATCCTAACAAGCACGGTATGAGGTGAAAGATATGCCTCATCATCAGTTCACTACTGTACTCACCAAAAGAGGGGCAAATGGTGCTAGAAGCGCTCCGCAACGCGCCACTGTTGAAGTTGATCCAACACCTACGCTCCTTACCATCGTGGGAATCATTTCTGCAGTATGAACGTAAACCACTCCAAAAGCTGATGTGATCCCCAATTTTCCCACTAAAAAGAGAATGACAACCGCCCAGTTACTTGTTACCGTATTGATGAAGATCGTTAATGTGCAGGTAACTCCACAAAGTAACAGGGATCCAGCTAGTGAGATCCTTCTGCCAAGTTTGTCGATACAGATCCAAGCAATTGTATATCCCGGTATTTCCACCAGGCTCACGAGAGCGAAATTCAGGTATTTATTGCCACCAAGAGTCGTGGAATTGATAGAAAGTCCATAGTAAACGAAGGCGCTTACTGCCCATATCAAATAAATTATTAAGAATCTAATCAAAAGCTTTCGTGACTTTATCATTTGCGTGATAATAAGAAGAATATTCTCCTTTTGATCGTCTGGGTCTTCGTCCTGAAACATCAAAAAGTCAACATGATGAGCTACAAGTTTGATTGGGAATTATTACAATTTTACAATGATATTCATATCATTCTAGAAGGGGAGACTCATGGATAATAATCTTCGTGTCACACTGAGCATAATAGTTGCATAACACCATATCGTTATAACTACAGGATCAAAGAAGACTGACAATTTTGGCTACTCTCTATAAAACAAAAAAAAAAAGATAGTTCAGATACCTGCGTAATTCTAAGAGAAAGTATTTTGCTCAAAATCCGAGGCACTAACCTCTTCCAGTTATGCTACGTAGTGAAATTTTGCGAATAACTCTCACAAAACAATTACTTTCCTGAATAATATTACGACTGATATTTAATTATATTTCACAGACTTGATAAGAAGAATTGGAATCTCTGGCGTGAAACAAAGCTAATGAGTACATTTTTCTCACCCCAGAACTGAATCACTCTTGAAGCGCATTTAGAATTACCACGAGAAAATAATTTTAGTAAGTGATTTAGCGCGTATGTTGGAAAAGTGCATGCAAGATCGCTCACAAAACCCATCCTAGGACATGATTGTTGTGCAGTGGCAGAAAATGAAATCTCTCGGTTTGATTGGAAAGCTTGGTATGTGAGAAATCTTATACATATAATTCAATGTCCATCGAGGTTTCAGCAAGAATATTTTTTTTCGGATCATTATGTATTACATCCAACTATGTATTATAGCTGAAAGAGACCATTATTTCGCTTTTTTCGGAATGTTTTGGAGGTTTCACCAATAGCGGAATTCATTATTTATGGAAATTGAGACTTCTGAGTGATTCTGGAAAGAGAGAGGAATGCTTCCCAATTTATTAGGTGGATCAACAGATTTCTTCGTTATCTGGAAAAAATGTGCACTTTGACAATGTTGCACTTCGAAAAAATCGACTTGTTATTTAGTTTTCTGAAGGGATAAAGATAGGAACAGAGCTCTCGATTACGCAAACTGAAAAAAGTTCTTCAAGACTGTTTTCTTAAGGGTTGAGGTCGGTTATCCCAATCAAATTTGAACTATCAGCAGCAATATTCTGAAATTTTGCCTTGCAAAGGGAAATTTGTCGACTTTTATCACTTAGCTAACTTGAATGAAGGTTCGCATTCATTGGGATCTTTTTCAGAAAAATTTAATCCTCACTGGTAGAAATTCGATTGGAGCAGGCGTTCATGCATGTAACCCTTCTTTGAGGTTGGAACTCACTGAACTGATTTCTCAGGGCCGATACAACTTTTTTCTTCTTAAGAAAAAAAACAAGCACTACAGGAAACACCTTAAGGCGCTGTAAGAGCGGATCACGTTGGATTTAAATCGCTGAAGATTAAATACTTTTTTGGAAAAATGTTTTCAGAAAGTCTATTCCACATTTTTCCAAATGAAAGGGTTCTTGAAAAGTGAAGTTTTGGGTGTAATGAGTTGAACCTCGAAACGATGAACAGTCCGTTGATACGTACTGCTCTTGGTGGAATCAAATGTGCTAAGTCATCAATCAGGCGAATGGCTCATTCCTGGATGGAATCCAGTAGCTTCTGTGTATAGGGGCGAAGCTCCATGCATGAGAACAATACTCCGAAGATGGTCTGATCTGAGCTTTATAAAATATCAAAAGTTTCTGAGGTGTATACAGTTTTCTGATTCGAAACAGTGTTCCAAGCTTTCGAGAAGTATATTTTGCAATTCCATCGACTTGATTGTGATCTGACATGTTGGTGTCTATTTTAACCTCCAACAAACTTATCGAAGCAGAAAGCGGAATTGTCTGTCCCGACATTATTATATCCGGTTCGGAGACATTTATCTTTTTGGAGAAAACCGATACCTGGGTTTTCATGACATTGAATTGAACCTGAGTACTTTCACCCCAATGCGGAGGCACATCTTCACCAGCAGCAGGAATTGCTGCCGGTGAAGATTCACAGCCGACGTCCTGGAATCCAAATGGAATATCGAGATGAGGGTGCTGTTGTCAGCAAAGCAATATATTGTATGCTTGTTTTTTTTTTCCAGTAAGTCGTTGATATACAATGAAAAGAGAGTTGCAGACAATGTGGATCCCTGAGGAACACCAGCGGTAATGGTGAAAGTATTCGAAAAGTATCCATCCACGGTCACTTGCAGAGAAGATACTTTCAGGAAGCTGGAAAGCCATACACAAAGGCCTTACAAATATCAAGCGCAACAGCTCATGTCTCTCCATGTTTCTTGATTGCGTTATTCCAAATATGGGTATCATAAGATAGAAGGTCTCCCGTCGATCTTTGTTTCCAAAAGCCATATTGATGATCGCTCAAGATGTTAAAGCCTCCTAAACATTAAAGGATATGGTGGTTTACGGTTTTCTCCATGATTTTTGATATCACTGACTGCGACTAGTCTATAGTTTGGAAGATTTTTCATGCCCTTTTGGGAATAGGCTGAATGCGAGCAATCTTTCAACAAGAAGGAAAACCCCTTCCTTGTGAGATATATTAAAAAGTCTGCAAAATACTGGTGCGAGTTCATTGGCGTACTTTTCAAGTACGATGACGGGTACTTCATCAGGACCAGACGCCGCGTTGATATATTAAGCTGTTTCAAAATTCGCCTGTAGAAGGATTGAGACAAACAATTTTTTTTCTACGAAAGAGCATTGGAGGAAAAAGGATGCTCAGGTTTATAAGGCTATTTGTGTATATCTGTTTGCTTGAGTATTAAGGTTGTTCAGATGAAATTAGCGATGTCCCTATCCATACCTCATTTTGTATTCAGACCGAGGGAGAAATTTTATTAGCAAAAAAATTATTTTCGTGCCGATGAACTGATTTTTATGTCGCAAACTTTTTCAGTGAATTTGAGAAAATGGAGAAAATTTGTCATTGTTATGTGGTACAATACTTCCATTTGAAAGGCCTCAGACCAACAAATATATAAGCTGAACTGGATTCTACTCTGGGTGAGTCTGCCCTTCGTTTACAACAGTAAAATATTGGGTAGCAGATTTTAAACGAGACCGTACGAGCTGCCAAGACGCGCATCGCAGTGGTCGATCAAATGAGGTGACGACTCATTTCTACTCTAATTCTTGTGTGCGGAAAAAATGTTTCCATTAGATTTCTTGGGTGCGGAAAAGTGTTTCCATTAGATTATTTATGCAATGCAACTGCAATGCAATATTATGAGAATGTTTTGCGCCATCTGGATTTCGATCTCCAATTCCAAAAGATAGATTAGATGTAGTTTCACAATAAATATTCACGTGAGACCAAATTTAAAAATTGTAATATTTCATGTAGGCTATACATTGAGTCGTATTTTCAACTGTGGTACAATATACAAAAAATAGAAAAAATCAAAAGCATCTTATGCTGCCGAAATTCTGCACAATTTTTCAGAAAATTTAATTGAAAAAAACCTTATTTTGAATGACAGAATTTTATAAAGAATGAAGAAATCATAACAGAAAATAATATAAACTAATTGACTACTTGGTTACTTTAACGTAAAACAATGTAGAACCTTCTCAAGATTTTAGTTGCTTACCAATAATATGCTACAAATAATAAAGCTGGCAGTGAAATGATCAGCTGTAAATGTACCCAGTCTCCGGTATACCAAGCTAAAGGTGCAAGTATTGCCTCACCAATAGCATAAAAATAATTTAAGACCATACCGCTTGCTTCTCTTTTTCTTTTACCAACCATTTCAACAACTGAAAAAAAACTTCTTTAAAATCATCATCCTCAATACACAAAAACAATGAAAGTTTGAAGGCCGTACAACAAATTTTTATAGTGAATAAATTAACAGTTTCATATCGATTGATTGCTCAAACCACCAACACTGACATAAAAACTTGGCAAGTCGACTTGGGTGAATCACCAATAGATGGTTCCACTTATGTCTCGTTTGCGTTTACGCAGTTATTTCCATTAAGTGCTTTTCTTGATTATTCACCTTTTCTCTCTCTTTAGTCAGGGAAGCTATAGATTACGCTGTAGACGACCCCTCCCGATATAGAAGGCCCCGACACTCTGTCGAATGAGGCCCCTATGTCCTCCGTTAACAGATGAATAATATCTTCATCTATCTCACCCCAGCCAGGTAGGGGTATAACGCGAAGGGCGGTATGGATGTCTAAGGACTTTCATGCCACCATCAAACATCAGTTGTGACCCATTTGTCTTTCTGACAAACTTCAG